CCGGATGTAACAGAGGCCTAAGGGGATGCTACTCGATGCCACCTCGCGCCACCGAGGAAGATGTTTCTGCCTCTTTCAGTGCTTCCTCTTCCTCTTCTTCTTCCTGGCGACGGAGAGATCCGACCAGGTGGAGGAAGGCGAGTTCGGGGAAGATGCTGCGTGTTCTCGCTGAGGGACAAATCTTAACGAAGAGGGGGCAACATCGACGTTAATGTCGCGAAAACGGGAGAGATCCCAGACGATCAACCAAAGTTCCTATTTTTCACGTGTTTTAGCCCAAAGATTAGAAAATTAAGGGAGCGATAATTAGAGAGAAATAAGGGAGGAGGAACAAGGAAGAGAAACGAGAGAAAGAGAGAGGAGGGAGAGTAAAGAAAAGGAGGAATAAAAAAAAGACCGAGATGACGCACGTCGAAACCTCGTGTCCGCGACGAGAATGGAGCCTCCCGCGTTAATTAACCAGCCAATTAGAAAGCTCGCGGCCATGCGTAATGAGCTGCGCGCGCAAAAGTTCCTAAATGTAACGCGGTCTTTTTTCCTTCGAATTCGCGCCGGTCACAAGGCACGGCGCGCACTAATAATATAAATTTAAATACATTAAAGAAACGAAAACTTCTCCTCGGCCACATGAGCGCCAAATTACAAGTGTGATTGAAAAGGAATAAGAAGAGGAGGAGAAGGAGGAGAAGGAGGAACGCTTTAGTCCTCGATACTAGTCCGCTAACAATCATAGTGATAGTAATAATACAGTTAGAGATTAATTGTACAACAGCGAAGAGCGCCTTTTCTCTGCCAAGACGAAAGGGAGAAGGCGGAATAAATAAGCAACGTACTTGTGTCTTATGGCGTCTGATTCCGCCAACAGGCAATAAAAAACAGGAAGCTCGAGGCGCGAACGAAGACGAGACACCTTTGTTTCCCTTGAATCCTCCCCCGCGCAAAGCCACGATGCGCGGAAGGAAACCTATTTTTTTCGAGGCAACGTGGAATTTGTGGATGAATACACTCGACTTCGGAAGCCAACCTTGCAGCTCTTTAAACAGTTTTTAACTGTACGTTAATGTGCCACGTGGGCTATTGAAGCAATTTCCCAGAACGCGCGCGCCGCGCGGCGTTTTTATCCTCTTAACCGAGTACGAAGTAAAAATAAATAAAAGGAGATTATTGAATAGATAAACAAACAAATAAATATATATATATACACAATTTAAGAACCTATTTAATTATATATTCCTATATACATATACAAGGAACACATGTACAGGTATTTTACTAGGTCCTTGCGATTTTGAAACTCACCCTTTGTTGAGATAAAATATAGAAAAGGGAGAATACCAAGCGAAGGAGACAAAAAAAAAAAAAGAGGTGCTTTTCGTGCATCGACATCCAGAAAGATATTTTTCACTGCGTCGGATTGGTGTAACGAGAACGGTAAAATGTCCACGATGAGTGTCGTCTCAAACTCTTCCGTCGAGGTGGACTCGGATTCCTCGAACGACGTGTCGAGCAAGGATGACTGCAGTGCCGAAAGAAAATTTATTCTACGAAACGAGCTGTACAACAGCCTGCTGGCGAGCGCGTTAGGCAAAACTGTGCTCAACAGGCATCTCAATTTCAAAGAGCAGGGGATTAACTTCAATCTAGCGAATCTGAAGGACAATTTAAACGCGCTCGGTGCACTGAAGGAGTTAAAGGACCTGAAGGGATTGACCGTCAGCAGCGTGCCCGCCTTTCCGAGAAACTTAGCTCTTCATCGGGAAGATCACGATGAGGTTAGACTCGAGTCGCTGAAAAAAAATTTTTTTTTTTCATTGCATTGCTTGTTGTTGCAAATTGCTAATATTGCAATGTAACAATAGGTGACATTATGCATGCGCATTGTCAATTGTCTCTCTTTGACATCTTTTCTCGCTTGTAATATTAAAGACAGGGCCGCAAGTGTGATGAATTCGGATATAATTTAATAATTTACATATTCATGCGTGCTTGTTTTTTTTTTTACTATATCTTATATAATTTTAAATATGCGCACACATAATTCTATACACACATATCATTCGCGCTAAAATAAAAAAAAATGGAGTTTCTTGAGATTTTCTTGAAATATTTCTGTTACTGTGCGTTTGTTTAACAAACATCACGTGGATATATTACTTATGGTATATCGGGAATATATAAACAAAAGCGTGGTGGAAAAGCGCCAAGTGTGGGAGAACGTAAACGATGTCGCCAATGATCGTGAGGATAGTTAGCGAAGAGTTAAAAGTCGGTTGACAGGTCGGCGAAATTGTTTGCGAGATAAAGTATGTCTTAACGTGATTGCTTGTCCGTCGGCGGTATTATAAGTTGTCAGTTAAAAAGTTAGAACATAGTTAACGAGAGTTTTCGCCTAACAAAAGCATAAAACGCGAGGTCATGCCGAGATTTTGTTTGTTCGGATAACGTTCTGTTTTCTTGACAGTTCTCTTCAAATATTTTCAATGTGCTTCGTTTTAGAATCTTGATATTTTATCATACGAATATCTGTCTTGGTTTTTTATTATTATTTTTTTTTTATTTTGAACGAAGATTGTGTTTTTGTAGTTAAATCGTTTTATTTATGCTGATAATCTCTTTTTTAAATCTTCTCTACATGCGCGATTATAAGATTGGAAAGAAAATCTGAATAAATTTGAAAAACTGCATTCTCGAAAAAAAGCAAAGATATAAATTTAATCAACTTTTTTTTTTTTAAATTGATCTTGATTGATGCTTTTTAAATTGATTTTTGTTCTAATTTATTAATTTGCTTCAGCAGTAAAACGTCCTGGCGGTGATTTCCTGTTGCCTTTTTTTATTTTTCACCCGAATTGCAACTATGAAAGAACGATTTCTTGGCACATGGTTTTAGCTTGTTTCAGTCTCAGCGTCTGCAATGATTTCTGACCTAAATATACGATATATACACCTGCAGATTTGTTTCGTTTTAATTGTACAAAATTTATTACTATTTATATTTTTCAGACAAAATGATTTTTTCTAAGATATTATTATTTAATTACATATACATACACATTATATGTATTTACGATATAGAATTTTTATCGCAAATTATATTTTTTTTAGTAGAATAATTTAATAATATTTTTATTATTATTATAAAGGAGATTTTGATTTAATTAACATTGTAACTGCATTGAAAAGTTAAAATTGAATTGAAGCATTCTTGACTTATAGTCGATAGATCGATAAACGAATGCATCTATTCGAATATCAAATGCCCTGGTAATTAACAAGTAATTATTTCTCGATCTGGATATTATTACATTTGGAGTTGTTGAGCCTAAAGAAAAAAATGTCACGGACGTCGTACTGCGTGCTTCGAGACCGTGCAATTAAGTAGTTGCAATAATGAAATGCGTCATCCCCCTTTGAGGCTCCCTTAAGAAATAACACCCCTGGTAAGCTCTAGGGGATAATTATTCGGGAGACTAATAATCATGCTTGTGATTCGTAACACGTTTTTCTCACGATGCACCGCTGCGTGAACAATTAACGATCTCAATCTAAAACCCCCTTAATTAATGATTTACCGCGATTAGTTAGCTGTGTCAGGAAGGACCGAAATTTTATTCCGCGCGAAAAAGAATATCGGTAGAATTAAAATCCGATTATTTGAAAGTTATTTTTAAAAGATCTGATATGTATGTTCTATTGTAGATTTAAAGGGAAAAAAATAATAACAAACAGAAACACACATAGAGAATGTCATATAATCGTAAAAGAAAAAGAAGAAATACTTTTTTACTTATCATTAAATTTAGAAAAAAAATTGTCCCGCTCCAAAATCCTCTTTGGAATAGATTTTTAAAACTATCAAGTTAAAAAAAAAAAAAAAAGTTTTTTGATCTTAACACAATTTTATTCGATGAATATAAAATTTTTCATTGTAACGGAAAAGGATAATGTGCCGATATCGCGCACAAAAGCGAATCACGAGAGCGTCCTGCAAAGATGATTCCAATTGCATCTACTTTTATAACAGTCGCCGTGCTCATCGCTCCTCTCTGCATTCGACGACATATCGATTGGCTATCGCCTGCGCGACGTACATTTTCTTTTCTTTGTCTGAGGCTATGAATTTCTTACGATGTCTGCCGCGGTCGATATGCCGCAGATCGGTATAATTATATTCGAATTTGCAAATATGTGCATGTTGACCGCTATACACATATAGAATAATCTATACGTAGTGATTATCAGATTTTCTTACGACATGTTCGTGAGGGAGTTTAAGTAGGTGTCAAATATGGAAATATTTTTTAATTCTCCCAACAAATATTAATATAATAATATTAATAGATTAATCGAAATAATTTTAAGAACATAGTTTATTATATGAATTAATCAGGAGAATACGGTGATGTCTAAGAAATTAAAATAATAAATGTAAATTCTATTATTCGATATTCGGCGGTACTTAATTTAATATCACGCAATTCAATATGACGGAACGAAATTAGAAACAAACTTTGCAATGAAAAGCCATGTAATGACTCTAGGTATTTTTACGTCAAAAATTTTCTGGCTCTATGCCAGCCAATTCATCGATCAATTTATTAATGGGCTAACTCTTTTCGCGCGCACTCGATCATGAATACCTAATACTGCTTCGCCAGTCAGACAAGAGTGAGCGAGTTAAATAATTACCGTGATTAATGCAAGGAAGATTTCTCCGGTCTATCAAGTCTATTACTATCTATCAAGTCAAAATATCGACTTTTGTAATTAATTATACTCAATTTTAACGTTCTTGGAAGTTAAACACCTTTAGAATTTCTCAAATATATTCGTGCATATAACATAAACAAAAATAAGCAATATATTAATATAAATAATTTGATATGTGGAAAAAGAAATTAAGATCAAAGATATGACTTTTATTTACATTCTTTACTGATAATATCTTGTTTTAAAAATTATGCTTGATGTATGCTTAATGAATTTATGTTTCTTTACAGAAGAACTCGTTCGCATGGTCGGAGGGTGGCGAAGAAGGTGGCGGTGGTGGTGGTGGAGGCGGTGGAGGGACGGGTGGGACCGGAACAGGTGGAACGGGCCCAGCGACCACCGGTAGTGGTGGTCTGGCCCATTGGGTTAGTGTCATGGCGGAACACATTCACAATCCGCACTCGGCCACTGGCGTCGGTGTTCACCATCAACAACAATCCCCACCTCAACCGCCTTATCCGTGGAACAATGGCCTTTCCAATGACGTGAGTACGCTTTTATCGCAATCATTCGTAGTATTTATGACGTTTCAGCATGTTAATAATTACGCCAAGACATTCTCAGCGAATTTAAAGTCTCTTTTAAATCAATCTTAGATTATTTTTTTCTTAAATTATTATATCGCGGGCCCGATGAAAATAATCTTACCGTTCTAGAGAACATTGCTCCGTAAAAATAAGCGAATAAAACAATAATTAACAGCAATTATTAACAATCGCGCACGTAAAACGTAAATAGCATCTTTATACACAATAATAGCAAGTGAGGTAGATCAAGTATCGATCATAAGTACATAATCAATTAGGCCGTGTACGAAGATCGTGCTCGTAAAATAGATAACAATAGGGGTAACTCTAATTAACTTTCGTGTCTCTTAAAAGATTACAGTATCTAACAAATACTATCGAGTCTTGAATTATTCTCCTATAGCCACGTTTTTTTGTGGACTTGGCAGAAGCTGCAGTCGCGACGAAAGAATTGATAAAAAAGAACATTGAAAAGAAGGAACGGTTAGAGAACGAAAAGGAAATAAAAAAGAAAAGAACGTTGGCTGAATTAAAAATGGCCGGAAGAAAGACACCGTTAAATGCGCAGCAACAACGGCACCAAAGCTTCGGAAATAGTAGAAAAAATCCCCGTCCGACATCCTTTTTTTTTTTTTTTTTTTTTTTTAATGCGCGGTGTTAGCGGGACGGGGAATACTCTACCCCTGTTTTGATTTTGTTTTTTTCCCTCCACCCTTTCGCGTGCTATCTCCGGACGAGAATCCTGCATAATTTAGACGAGACTGGATTAGAGGAGACCGTCAAGAGAGGAAGAGACAAAGACTGCGAAAAAGCAGGGAAAGGGTGAAGCAGTAAAATCGAAATGGGAAGGATGGGGGTGAGAGGTAAGGTGGGGTACAAACGACTCGAAAAACGACAGCGAAAAAGGGCGCCAAAAAGGGTTGAAAATCGCTTTACATAGCAGTGTTCTTTCGTCGGATTTCATCTCGGAATAAAAAAAAAAAAAAAAAAAGGAAGGAAACAAATAGACGGAAGCGCGAAAAAAAGACTTTCGAGGAAGAGGAGAAAAAGCATGTATAAGCGCATTCGCGTGATGGGGAATAAATAAGAGAAAAGTGTAAATAACTGTAACGTAGTAGTAATTTAGTCGCTTGAATCGATAATGATAATTAGGTAGCGTTTTTATTGCGCTTTAATCAGAGCCATTCATTTAGACTATTTAGAGTGTAATCGAGGAGACAATTAACAAAAGAAATTGATATAAAGGCATAACTCTTTTAAATTAAAAAAAAAGCAAATATTTGAAATTTATATATTTTAAGTTTACACACACATCTAAAATGCTCTACTCCATCGAGGAGACAATTAACAAAAGAAATTGATATAAAGGTATAACTCTTTCAAATTAAAAAAAAAAAAAACATGCAAATATTTGAAATTTATATATTTTAAGTTTACACACACATCTAAAATGCTCTACTCCATTTTGCTCATTTCTAAGCATTGCGCTCCCATTACTCAAAAAGATCATAAAGAATCCTCGATCACAGAGGACTCGTTTGTTTTTCCAAGACTGAAATTAGGGTGTGCCTTCTATCTTCGTACGGTACGAAAAGGACCGGATTTGAATGTGAATAGAAGCGGCAGACATCTCGAGGACGCTCTTTATCGGTCGTAGAACCTGTAGCACGCGGAAGAGTTATCCCGAGGCATCGTTTATCGTCTCTCTCTTTTTCTCTTCCCCTCCTCCTCTTTTTCTTCCTTCCGTTGAAGGTTCACCCGGTTTTTGTCTATGGTTATGGGTGCTCGCGCGGGACCCACGCCATAGGACTATCGCGGAGGCCTCGGGAAAAAACAAGGAACTACGACAACAGGGGAACGATTTAAATAATCCGCGGCATGCTAATGTCTCTGGCATTCTCACGGGACACCGTCCGTGAAAGTTTTCGGAGGGGAGGGGGCGATAGATGGGAGAAGAAAAAGAATGAGCCTACAAGACAATCGGCCAATCTGCATATGGCGCATACGGGCGAGGAAGAGCTTCACTCTTTGGCATCTCTCGAGGGGATGATCGTGTTATCTCGTTGAACGACTCATGACCAACGAATTGTCGGTCGTGAAACCGTTAGATTTTAAATTAAAAATCTCGAAAACTTTTTCATTTATAATACGAATGAGCTATTAATTATTAAATCAAGATTATTTCTCCATGACAATTTTTAATATAAATAAATGTAATAATTTTAATAATGGCATTTCTGGTTTAGTATTTATAAAATAAAAGCGAAAAGAAAATGAAGAGAATGTAACATGTAAGCGCACAGCTAACATTGTTCCGCGTATAACTGTGTCATGTGCGAAATCAGTAACACGTTTTCGGAGGTTGTAATCTGTCGCCGGTTTGGCCCAGCGGGTGGTCAACCCCTTTTCCGGGTTTTTTTACGCCTGCCCGACCATAATCCCTTAAAACGCTTAGAGGCGTTCTTTAGGGTAATTTCTCTCGGCAACGAAGAAGGGGTGCGCCTCATCCGCCGGGACCCGCGTCGTTTTATCCGACGAGATGCAAAACACCTTCGGCCGTTCTCGTATCTTCAGTACTAGCGGCACCCGAAATCGTTCTTCGTGCGAGAGGAGTCCTTGGCCTCGCGCGAAACACCACCCCTGACGAAGATTATGCAAAGGAAGACTCATCCATCCTTTTCTTTTCTATCCTCCGTAACTATCCCTTCGCCCCCTTCCCTCCCCGTCTCATCTTCCTCCCGTTTCTCTTTCTCTCTCGCTCCTTCCTTCTCCTTCTCTCATCATTTTCGTCCCCTCGACACGGTGTAGCTGTACGAAAATTAAAATAATGGTTCGCGCAACCCCTGCAGCATTTTTTTTACTTCTTCTATCGGCTTTTTCTCCGCGCAGCTTTGGCGCGGCAGCGACAGCCGGCATGCAAATCGCGCAACGGGATTTTTGTCTCCGTTCGGCGAGAGACAAAAAAAAATGGGGAGAAGTAAGGTATTGTCTCGGTACCGGGACCGTTCGTTAAGGGACCAGTGCCGAAATAAGATTTTTTTTTCTATCTACGCTTAGCCTCTGGGTGACGAAGCCTTCTTCTCCGATTGGCTAATGAATCCGTAGGGCAACGCGTCGTTACAGAAAAAAAAGTAGCAGGACCAACGTACGCTTTGCATTAAATGAAATGAAACGGTGGAATGAAAGTTTCGAATGAAGAAATTTATATCGCGTCATTGTGTAACAAAAAAAAAATATTCTGATATATTTTTTACGTCTGTATTCAATATCTTTTTCATATGAATAGGAATACATTTCATGCATGCTGGAATATATTCTCTTCTTCAAATATTTTTCATAGAATTTTTCTTATGCATCATTTTTTTTAGATAGAATTATTATTATTACAATTAAAATTATTATAATCTAAATAAATTTTTTATATTAATTTAATATATTATTTTTATTAATCTAAAAATCTCATCGTATTCAATTATTCAATATTAAAGTTATTCGCTTTAATTGTTTTAATTTATTTTAATCTTATTATTTCGTTTTAATTTATTTTAGTCTTATTATTATATACTTGATTCCGTAATTTATGATAGAAAAATGATAAACATAAATGATATTATCATATACATATATATTTCTAAAAAAAGCATTGTACCATAACATTTGCCAATCTCGGGTTCTCATGGATTTTTCGTTTGCTTTTGTCGTATCATCATCGTATTTCTGTTTTTCGAGAACCACCCCTTACGGCGCAGAAAAGATTGGTAGTCGGTTGCACGAAACAATGAAAGCACATAACGTTCACACATCGACCTAACACGGAGTCCTTTTTGGTGTCGGTGTCACAACATTTGGGCCTAGGATAGAGTTATGGCCGTCCTTTTCCTGTATATATAGTTTCTAGCGTACTAACCCTCCCTTCTCAATCGTGTTCGTCGTTCATCTCCCTGCTTATCCACTTGGAAACAGTTTTCTTCAGTGATTTTTAGTCCTTCGTATTGTGTTTTGTCACTTCGCAATGAATTTACTGTTATGTGACCACTTGATTTAAAATTATATTTGTAAAGATGATATCTCTTGATATACCTCACACATTCTTTACGAAATTTGATACATATAACGCATGTATATTGTGTAAATTTTTTCTTATATTTTACATAATTAAATTTATAAATCTCTTATTTTTCGCGACAAATTTTTCGTTGCACTTTTAATGTAAATAATTTTTCTTATAACACAAAATGTGATTAGAAATATATTAAAATATATACATGCTATACATTTATAGAAGCTAATGTAATCAAAAAATGACTCTGCAAAAATATCTATAAATTTTTTATATTTTGAGTATCATGGTTAACGGTAAAGGATTGTTAGTACAAAAGTCGCGGTTGGTCGTGTTTTTGATCGACCGTACCTCGAGACGTGACTAAGAATTCATCGCGAGAATGTACCGTTTTCCGCGAGGGTGCACCGTTAAAGGATTGACAAAAAAAAAATTAGCACCCGTTCCAACGGGAGGAAAAAAAAGCAGCTTCGGGTGCTTCCGGCACCCGAAGACGCGAACAGTGGCTTATTCCCGGAACCGATCCGGGTGAAAAAAAAACCGCATATAGTTTCTCGACGGCGCGAGATAGCCGGCCCCGGGCGCGTACCGTAGGGGCGCGTATGCAGATCATGGTGAAAGCCAAGTACAAAGGGCCCATAGTCTCACGCTATTGTGCCGTGGCAGGTAAGATAAAAGTGGCTGGCCCGTGGGCCCGAGGTCCCTACATACGGCTGCACCCTGAAAAACACACACGCACACGCGTACATTCATGTACACACACGCATGGGCGGCCGAAGATAGAGCCTCGGGTGACCCGGTCTAGTAGACCAGCTCTTGATGTCTCTTTAATTTTTATTAATGACAGCGAATTTGAATTTTTGCATCGGTGATATGGGAACCGCGCGCGACGCGTTCT